CAAGAAGCTTCTGGAGCTGTCTGAGCAGGATCACTGGCAGATTCAGGATGACACACTTAAGTCACAGAGTAGCAACTGCCAGGTTGTTGATGACCAGGACCCAGCTGTGGTAGGAGAGGCTAGGCAGGCACCAGCACCACCACTGTAGTCAGACCTCAACCTCCTCAATGAGGCTTTCACAGTACTTGACTAAATAGGCCAGAAGATTTAGGAAAATTCCCAGGTCTTTGAAACCATTGCAGAACAGGCTTCTAGACAAGTCTAGTTGCTGAGCATCAGCCCAGGTGCCCAGTAGAAACATTTGGCATTTGGCCCAGTTGATGCAGGCTGAGAACAAATGCTTGTAGGCCACTGACACTTGATCAGAAACTGGGCATCACCCTCACTGCTCACAAAAACAGTCATATCATCAGCATACGCTGTCACCTGAACTGGGAGGCCAGCAGCCAGGGCTGCAGTCAATGGGAGGGCCAGACCTATCAGGCACTGCTGGAGCAGTGGCTCAATGGTTAGAGCACACAAGCATTCCAGTCACCTGGTCTTAATATCACTGAAATCCCCTTTCTTGGGCAGTATTGTGAGCATTGCCTGTCAGCAGCTGACTGGTAGGATCCCATCTTCAAGGCTCTCCTAGAAGATGCAGAGGAGGTCTAGGCTGAGGAGGGGCCAGAAAGTCTTATAGACTTTGAATGGTAATCTGTCAAGGCCTAGCATTTTCCCTGTGGTGGTTAGCTCTGCCAAGCATAACTCCTTTTTGAGCTTGTCAGTCTCGGACACGCAAAATGGGGAGGCCCTTGTGAAGATGCTGAATACCCTCTGGGCAGACAGGTTTGGTTGCAAACTGCTCCAATAGCTAACAGCATGCTCTTAGATTTTGGCAGAGTCTGTGAGCACCTGGCCCGATGGGGTTTTAAGGTAGCTAATGGTCTTTTGTTCTGTGCATTTTTTCTCTAGGTTGAAAAAGAACTAAGTCAGGGTATCAGCCTCTGTGAGTTCTTGGAAGTGGTTCGAGTTTGTGTGCCCAGGCCATGCCTTCTAACAGTTCTCTCAAGCATTTTTTCTGGAGCTTGAGGCTCTCATACAGTCCATGGTCATTACCAGCATCCCTCATACCAGCCTCAAGCTCCACTGGACAACCACTGAAATCAGCCTTAGTGTCCATGAGAAGAGAATGTCAACACCTGTGGTGGAGCTGGTGCCATGGCTGAAGAAATTTCTTCCCCTCCAAATGGTGTGCCAGTCTGTTTCACTGGTTGCATCACTGTGCATATCTCGCAACATCATAAAATCTAACCATTTCTGGTTGAGGAACTCAAATAAAACTGCTTACGTTCTGGGGTTTCTGTATCCCAGGGGCTGGCAACATTTTTGGCCCGAGTGCCAAAGTCACTCCAACCTTCACCCCAGCCTTGACTTGGGGGAGCTGCAAGAGGCCTGATCCTAATTGTTGGCAGTGGCTGCACCCATGCCTCCAGGTGGACGGCAGGGAGAGGCCAGGGTTGCACTGCCCCAGCACCTTCTCCATCATGTGCTGGAAGCTGTGTGTACACCTGCCACCGCCATGGTGCTGGGCAGCTGTAGAAGGCAGCTGGATGGCTGTAAACAGTTGTGCCAGGCTCCGCAACCCAGCACCAGCTCCATGGTGGCGGCAGCTGCACACATGCCTCTGAGCAGATGGTGGGGAAGGAGCCCTTTCCTGGCCATGTGTCCAGAGGTCCACATACAACTGCGGCAGCCATTGAACAGGTGCAGGGGCTGCAGAGCCCCATGAAGTTGTTTGCAGGCTCCTGGCTGCAGCTGGCCCAGGCTCTGGGCAGCTGCTGGCAGAAGCTGCCCGGAGTTCAGGTTGGCTGTGGAGTGCTGAGGAAAACGGCCGCACGTGCCAAGATCTGGCATGCAATGCTGGGGGTTGCTGATCCCTGCTGTATCCATTTGCACTGAGTGACCCAAGAGTAAAGGTTAGCACTGTGCAAGCTTTGGAAAGGTGAAAGCAAAGGCAGTGGAAAAATGGAGACGGAAGGAAGGGATATGTTTTATTTAGGATATCCCAGAAAGTTGCCCTTAACAGTCCATAGGTTTGTTCTCTACTAACAAGCTGCTGTTGAGCTGCTCTCTCAGTTTCCCTTTTAATCAGTCTTCTTTATTTTTTTTTAGTTTGAATGCATATTATTTTGTTGCTTCCTTAGCCAGCAGTTTCTTTATCATGCTACAGGCAGAGACTAGAAACATTCACAGTCAGGAAAACATTTGTTATTTGGTTCTTGACCTTCCAGAATCCTTCAGTCTTGTCAAGGCACCTAATGATGCTTTTAAGGGAGTCATGTTCCCTGCGTGCATCCCCAAAAAAGACAATGGAGGGCTGGTGATTCTCCTGCAAGAAGTACCATCCCTCACTAAGGGATGATGATTCCTCTCCTTGAAGCGGGGACTCTTGGATGTCCAAAGGTGGCCAGAGCTCATGAGTTCCCCTTTGTTTTCATCCTTAGGCTCCGACCCAGTGTCCTGTTTGGAAACTGGTGGGTGTGAGAGAGAGAGAGAGAGAGAGAGAGAGAGAGAGAGAGAGAGAGAGCTCCGTGACTGTGAAGAGACCTGAAACTGTGACAAATTTGGTGGCGGAGCGAGCTTAGGAGATGGCAGTAACTAAATTAAAGGGTCTAAAGACAGAAGTGGCCTAGCAAGCTTGACAAGAACACGACCAACCAGAAAACTTAACATTAAACTATTGGGCTCGGACTCAGTGAAGAGGACCCCTACCTCGAGACTTGTTCCATCCTCTGACTTGCAGATAAGATTTGCAGTGTCTAAATATTTAAGCTTTAATGGACTAGAACTGGGCAGGGGACTTCAGACCCTCATAGGCACATCCAGAGGAGCATGCATGTCTGGTCTGTGGCACTGCAAACCACATGCACCACACATGTAGGCATTCACCATGCTGCTAATTTGCCCCAGGGAAAAGTGGGGTGGTGCATGTGGTTGCTTTTTCCCCCACAGCAACCACAGGGCTCTGCTCGTGGGGATGTGGCCCATGAGCCCAGTAAAACGAGATAAAGAATTGTGAATAACTTTGCCACTATCAACCCCAAGAAAGTAAACCCAGAGACCTGACACCCCAGCCAAAGCTGGCAGCAAAAAATACTAAAAATAGCAAACACAGGTTCCAGGTAGCAGATCAAAATCCATGGGCAACTAGCCATGGTAAAGGGAACTAATTTGACACCACGATATTGCTGCATGATGATAAAGTCATCAAAGTTCAGTTACTCATGTAATGATCAATATCATGATTCCATTTGTCAGGTATACAGGTCACATCTATAATGTCCAGTCACATGTCTTTGAATGGTTTATTAATGGACTGTATTGTTTTGCTACTGATTTTCTTTTTTTCTTTGTAACTAAATGCATGTAAGGGATAAACATGACAGTAGCCATTATATTCACACGATACTGACTCATGGCCTATGTTGCTATCACTGTTATCACTGAGAAAATATAGTTTTTTTAAGACACTGCAGCAACTGAGACTGAAACTCCATTATACTGGGTTCTGTACAAACACCAAAGAGAGATAATTCGTGCCCTATTTATCATAAAAATATTGCAATCCCATCAGGTTATTAGGACCAGGAAATTAATTCCAGTCTGTTCCTTGTATTCCTGCGCATCGTACTTATTACACATAGTATACCTTGCTAATAGAAAATTACATAAATGAGGGAGTGTGACTGTACAAGAATAGTTGCCACCAAGAGCTGGTGGCTGGCTGTGCCACCATTGCCCCATGTACTATCACTGCCCTGTTACATCTCTGAGTGGAAGCCATGTAGAAGTGTGAAAACTGCAGCAAATAAAGCAACAGCAGACTTGAAGATAATGCAGTCTCTTATACTGTATTATTTCTTAAGTGAAAAAACACACAACTGCTTTTATACCAGCAAATAAAGTTTGCATCAGTGGTTCTCAAATAGGGATGCCGCAAGATCTTTTTGAGGGTGCTGCAGAGTACAAAGAGAAAAGCACTTGCTCTTCTCTACCTGGCCTCTTTGTAAGGCAGTAAGCACAGACTCTTTTCTGTCCAGTTCCAGTGCAAAGAGGTATGATCACACTTGTCCTTGCCAGCTCCTGTATGAGTTCATAGAATCATAGAGAAATAAAGCTGGAAGGGACCTCCAAAGGTCATTTCATCCAAACCCCTGCTCCCTGAGGCATGATCATCTCTATCCAAATCATCCAATACAAACAATAATTAAAACTCTAAATACAAGTTAAACTCTACAAAAGTGTGAAATGCTTCCACTTCCTCTCCACATGAGGAAGTAAGCACAGGCTCTTCTGTGCCCAACTTCAGTGCAAGGAGGTAACCTCATGATCATCCCTGCCCTACCATTCTGAGGAGCGCACTCCTGCCCTCAACCCCTGCAGCCCTATACCAAATGTTGAGAACCCCTGGTTTAATACATAAGGATCACAAACCAAATCTAATTGCCAAGTATAAACATCATCTTAAAGGAAGAGATTTCTCACTTTTTAACCATCAATTATTTTAGTCTGTAACCATGGCTTAATTCTGCACCATAAAATATTTCATGTTGTACATACATTTTACCAATGATCTAGAAGTATCCTTCTATTTTCATTTTTTAAAAACTGGAATAAATGGTTTGCAAGCCCATTCTCTACTACTAGATTCATTACCTTCTCTCAATAAATTTCCACATGAAAATGTATTAAACTGCAGTTACAGTTCAGGGTAAAAACAATGTAAGGACTTATTTGGGAGATAATTACAAACTCAGGAAATTCTGGAAACGCACCTAAACAAACTTAACTGTGCCTGTGAGCTATGTCATATAATAGCTATTTATTATTAATCCATAAATATTTATTATCCCTTATTTTTAAAAAATGATTTATGCAAGTTTCATCTTTCTTTTTGTCACTGCAAGATGAAGCTAAGGTGGCAGAATAACAATGTGTAAAATCATGCTATACTATACCTCAGGCTTCAGATCTCTATGGACTACTCCCACATCATGCATGTGACTCACAGCTGAAACAAGTTTGCGCATAATATAACTGGCTTCTGTTTCACTGAAGTGCTTCTTTTTTTGAATACGTTCAAGCAATTCTCCCCCTTTCAGCAGTTCCATTACTAGAAATGTGTGAACCTAGAAAACAAACAAATACAATCTATGTGGAGTCTTAGAAAATGTAGATTGTATAGTAACAGTGAGGAATTTAAATATTAAGTCAGCATAATAAAACATGAGACTTTTTTTTTTTTTTTTAGAAAAAAACAAGCAAATCCTTAAAACAAATAGGTGGAAAAATATAGTTTTTAAAAATTGTGAGAATAATTTCTTTTGTGTAGCACAAAATAAAGAATTAGAATGCATTCATCTTCCAGCAGTCAGGTAGTACTGCAGTACAGTCTCCCTTTCCAAAGGTTAGGATGAATAAAGCTGCCCAATAAAATATTGTTTCATGAGTCCAGAAATTAAGGGCCAAAACTTACTCTACAATGCCATTTGTGCTTTAGGCTGCCAAGGACCTCAACTGAAATTAAACATGTACATCAAAAGGTAGAATCTGATGAGAGATAAAGGTTACATACCTCCATGTAGAGGTCCTTTTTCTCTTTTTGCAATGGATGAAGAATTAGTCACAGAGTTCAAATTAATAGCAGAAAAAAGTTAGTAACTCCTTGTTTAGGCTCCAGAAAGTTTATTTTTCAAATCTTTAATTATCCACAATTGCTTTACATGCTATTTCCCACATTTAAGTATAACTGTTGCTACACCAACCATAATACACATGATTATTCTCAAACACGCAACCTTAATTCCATCTTCAGTAAGATTAATAATTACTATTCTAAAAACTGGTTTTACTTGAAAAGTTTTATTTTTACCTTTAAGAATTCTGAATTTGAAGACAAGATTATATGCTTCAGTGTTATTGCACTGCATTTTTTTAGAACTATTCTTTTTATAACCTGTTAACTGTTAGCAGGTGGTAGATGGAATATGGGGGGAGAGGTAGCATTAAGAGATATTAAAGAAGTGAGTCATTCTGAATGAGCCTACTAGGTACATCTCTGCCGGGAAGAAGAAAGGATAATGGGAGTTTGTAAGTGAGGGAAACTTTCAAGGAGGCTGAAGTGGTCATGGGGGTAGGCCAGAACAATGAACTATGGATGTAAGGAAGTAAGATTTGTGGGAGGCAGCACGTAGGTGGGGATTGGTACTACTGTGGAAATGCAAGGACAAGAAAAGCAGTGCTGTGAAGTAAAAGAGTTAAAAAGTGCAGTAGAAACAATACAAGGTTTGCAGGGAAATAGTGAAGAGGTAAGACAATGAAGGCTGAGGTCAGGATTTCCTTGTGCTGACGCGGTACGATGCAGATACCCTAGATACCTTAAACAGAGACGTTTTACCAAACAGAAAATTTCCTCAGACCAGAAACCTGTCCTATTAATGTAGATGTTCCCCAGAACAAGGGAGTCTAATCCCCTGTAAGGAAGTAAAGGGCTTGGAGATATGCTGGGCAGAAGCAGGAATGGTGTGCAATACTGGAAAGAGCACAGTAATGGAGAGGTATAGGGATACTGTTCAGCACAGAGCAGGTATCTAGAGAAGCTCACTAGTAATACTGTTACTACCGCTTTTCAGGTCACTTTTCAGGTCACTTCAGCAGTCATACCTTTAGCTATGAAAGCACTGGAAGGGATAAGCAGAGTTTACCTTGGTAAACTGTGATTTACTAGAAATGAGTCACAGCCTGACAAATGTTACCTGGTTTGCATTCCCAATAACGATCTGTAACTAGAGCTAATAAAAAATAACTATGTTTATAACAAAATAAAAGAATAACATCTTGATTTTTAAATATTCAAAAAATTATGACCATTGTGCAGAAGCCTGAAGAGGTGTATCGCTAGACACATACTGCTAGGGGGAGAGGGCTGTATGGAAAAAGGAAAGGGAGACTTCACAGTAGGTTCTTTTCACTGTAGTTTCCAGGGAGATCAGGGAGACACAGCTAGCTTCCTGCAGCCACCATGGTCATTTCATACAAGTAATGTTTAGATAAAGCGGATGACTGAGAAATCCACAACTAAACATGTTACAAGACTTCTCAGAATAGCGAAGTTGATTAAAATTTCATGATTTTGGACTTTAATAAAAATAGCCTTAGGAATTAATCCTATATAGCCTTGCACCTATATCAATCTTCTAATTCAATTATTCAAGCTGCTTTATAAATATTATTTAAGCTTCATGTCACTTGTAAAAGAAAATAAAAATAGGCATCTTAGGCCTTTGACACGTTATTTTTGTAGTACTAAAAACTGGTATGGTATATGGTTCCTTAGTAACTCCCATCCCCAGGAGAACTGTTTAGCGACTGGGGCAGGCTTACTGACAGGTTTCAATCAGTTGTTGACAATGTCACAAGAGCTGATGGGGCTGTCCACAAGCTACCCATGGAGGCAAGGGCTGATTGGGCAATCTCTCCTACCTGGTTGGCCCTTCCTACCACTGTTGCAATTGTTATGGGGCTGCCCTCAAGGCACCCAGAGTGGCGGGGGCTCACTGGGTGGTCTCCACTGCTGCTGCTGCCCACCCAGGCAGCAGCAATGACAGTGCTTATACACTGATAGAATCTGCTTCTATAGACAAACAGTAATACTTTCATAAGATTAATGCTGTGCACAGAAAAGTATGTTTGAAAAATGCTAATAATAATTACCTGATCATGAAAAACTTCATGCAACTTCACTACATTGGGATGTCCTTCACAGAGCTTCAAAGCAGTTATTTCTCTCTGCGTGTTTGCTTCCATTCTGGAAAAATTGATTAATCAGTTTGTACCCAATAAGCATATTTCAGAGTCAAAATTGTTATGCCTATTTATTTTTTTTAAACTTCTTCCTAATCCAGATTTTGGAATATTACAACAAGATTCACTTTGATATATACACTTGGAAATCAAAGCCAAAATCTTGGAAGCCCCAAAAGCAAGCAGAACAGAAATGAGTCTCTCAACAAGCTCTGCAGGATGGGGTATACAGTAACAAATTTGTGTTTCTTGGTACATCAGAAATGGGAATTGAATCTACAATAGTCTCTTGTCTAGAGCACATCGGGGGGGCAGTGAGAACTGGGGAGGCTCTGTTCCCTCGGGCACCACCCGGGGTTACTAGGAATAACGGCCACAAATTGTTAGAGAGAAGGTTCAGGCTGGACATCAGGAGACACTGCTTTACAGTTAGGGCTGCCAGGCTCTGGAATGGGTTCCCAAGTGAGGTAGTACTCTCTCCTACCCTGGGGGTCAAGTGGAGGCTGGACAAATATTTGGCTGGGGTGATATGACTGCAGCACCCATTCCTGCCTGGGACAGGGGGTTGGACCTGATGATCTGTTTAGGTCCCTTCCAACCCTAAGCACTATGAAACTATGAAATATCTCTGCCTTAAGTTAAGCACTTCTTTTTCTACAAGTGAGTAGGCAGTTCAGATTCCTCCAGAAGGCTTGAAGGATTGGCTTTAACCATTCCACCCTTATTCTACATGAATACTTCTAAGCTATACAGAAACTCCAAAATCTTCTTAGTAGTCAATAATGTAATTGAATGTTGCCTATAGATCTTCAGAAGTAAATCCCTATATTTTAAACAAATATTTTTTTATTTGTAATCATTAATCTAATCTGTAAATTGTAAGCAAAGTAAATAATGTTTTTATTATCTTAGAGATTATTTATACCTTTTACTAATTATTTTTACTGCATATTCTTGGCTAGTTTTCTTGTGTAAGCACCTTCGACAGATGGAAAAACTTCCTTCTCCCAATGGTTTCTCTTTCAGATCCAGTTCATAATGATGATAAAATGGAGAGTCCTGTCAGGAAACTGACCATATTTAGTTCTGTGGAATACTTCCAGTATAATGAGTCAAAGACAAAGAATAAACTATTCAATCTGCATTTACAGTTCCAAAAATACAGTTAAGAGATCTAATTTTGAAAAACAATAGAGTATAAATAGAGGTTGTCTGATAATGTTATGAAACAATATGCACAATTTTTATTTTAACACTGTAAAGATGAATTATAAGATACTTTAAACAAAAATATTGAATAAACTATCATCATCAGAATATCTTCAACTACAAAAACATTACGGGAAAAGGCCAGAGTCGATTTCTACATGCTGATCCCAAAAACAGTAAGCTTATTTGAAGACATGACATCATAAGGATTTACATGATATGCAAATCTGGGTTGTTATATTAAATCAGATCCCCTTCTATAATAACTATTGCAGCTTTGAAAATGTTTACTTGCCCAGGTGAATTCTATGTTTGTCATATGAAAAAAGTATTGTTCTTTTCACTGTCCTTCTGCTGTCATGTTTTTTAATTATGGCTTTTCAAGTCTAGACTCCAGTTACATCTTAACTATGGCATATGCTAACTTTAAGTGCGGATTGACTGCTATTGACTCTTCAGCCAAAGAACAGATAACTGAATAATGATTATACGCTCAGCGATAATTAGTATCTCAGCCTTCAGACCCCAAATGTATAGCCAAAGTCAAGAAATCTCAATATCCAAGCAAGCTAAGTTTTTGATATTATCATTACCTTCATCATAGCACTTCTAGCAATAGTTGTAACGCCAGGTCGTTCATCTTCCATATGAAACTGAATAGGATTTACTGTAGCCGCGTTGCGTTTAAACAAAATAGAAGGAGCAACAAAAGAATAACCCTACAGAACAAAGACAGGAGATAAATGTAAAGCTTGAAGTTGTGTGCATAAGACTGCACCCACAATATAACAAGTTTTAGTCATAATCTTAAGGATTAGCATACACCTATTATAGAAAAAAATCTACAAAATATGGGTACATGCCACTGAATTTAAGGTTAAAACGCAGCTTCATTTCAACATAAAGGTGCCTTAGAAGAGGTTAAATCATATTCTGGTTGAAAAACCATTCAATTAAAAATTACGGGACTGCAGAAAAGTACTCGATTTCACAGCTTCAATTGTTTTCCACTGGTGACACACTAAAATTGTCTAGTTTCTCAAGATAACTAAATATCAAACGCATTGAAATTATGATGGGACAATGGGATTAATCATTTTAATTGGCAAAACAAAAATAATGCATTGTTTAATTAAGTTGGCTGCAACCAATACCTTTTGTGCATTTTTACCTATAAATATTTACAATACAAATATAAATTTACAGTATAAATATTTATTTTGGGAATGATTTTTTGCAGCATACAGAAATATTATAATGTCAATATGGGTTTGGTGGAAATGTATCCAAAGAGGTCGGATTTCCGTCTAGTGGCAGAAAGTTTGAAATGCATAAGCATAGAAAAAGGGCTGAAATAGTTTCATACCATTTCATGAACAGAGAAGGTTAATTACCAATATATTCAATTGGCCAAACAGTGGTAGGCCAAGTAACAAACTACATCCAATTAAAGCAAATCTAATTTCCACATGTTTGTTTGATTAGTATTTATTCTTAAATATGCTTACTTGGTTTACTTGGAAAATGAAAATTATTTGTGAGATTTTTAAATCCTTTGAAACTGAGAATTATTTAGTCTCAGATGAATTACTCAGATATAATATCCTATTTTTACTTTTCCCGAGAGAATTACATGATACAAATTGTATTAATTTATCTTTTTGTTATACATCCTTTATAAGACCACCACTTAATTTATATCTTTTATATTACCATAAGTCTGTGGCCAACAATAATTAAACAATTTTTCAAAAAGTACCTAAGGCCCCTGATAGATGTTCACTTAAAGGTTTTATGGGATCTGATCTGCGAATTCAACAATGGCAAATGCCACATGTACATGGCAGGATGTGCGATTTTGGGATTGGGGATTAGATCCCAACTGCACCTTACTTGCCAGTGTAGGATCGTGAATGCAGGCTCCCCACGCACCAGCCCACAATCAGCTGACTATCAGCTGGGGTCAGGGATTAAACCAGGGTCTGGAATCAGCCCTAGACCAGTCCCTGGCCCCAACTAAATAGCTATCAAAACCCCAGCTGGGGGAGCACATAGTATTTCTACTAATCTCCAGTCATGGGGACCCTGTGTATGGACTGCCCCAGCACGTTCCCTTGGCCCCCATGACCATGGATGTGTAAAAATGGCATATGGACCCCTGCTGGGTGGCAAGCATGGTTTCTGCAGATCCCGTGTCCAGGGATGAACAAAAAACCACTTGTGCCACCCAGCTGGGTGGCACAAGTGGTTTTTACATGTCTTAGAATATAGGGCAGCTGCCCCCAATCCTAGGGTCCTGTCATGCAAGCACCTTTAAAAACTGTGTGTGCAGCTGGGCTGTGGTTTTCTGTCATCCCTGATGCACAGGGATCTCAGGACCAGGGAAAAGATCCGGGGGGATTTTAGAAAAATAATTGTGTGCAGCCCAGCTGCACACATGGTTTTAAAGGTCTAGGGTGCAGTGAGCCCAAGACTGGGGAGATGCTTTCTGATGTCAGGCTCACAGACCCCCATCTGCCTCTGGAGGTTGGGTGGAGGTCTGGGGTCCATGGACTAGTTCTGCTCCCAAGACCAATTTGGTAGGTGACAGCTGTATCCCAGACCCTGGGGCTATCCCATGGTGGGTCCTGAAACTCAGCTGAGTGCTGGGATCTGTCATGGCTCAGCCCCAACCAGCCATATGTTCAATTTAAGGCATGACAGAAATGAGCCACAAAATCATCACACTTTTTTTGTGAAATAACTTTGTGACTTGTTTACTAGATTATCACACTTTAAATTGACTTGAACATGTGGCTAGGTTACTATTTAAGGAGTGATTAAGCTGTTAGTTGCATCTTAAATTTAACGTGTCAGGAACCTTAAAATCTCATTAACCTTCAGTGAGATTTAAAATTACGAAGTCATTTTGAAATTATTTTTCAAGCTTTTACCCATCCAGAAATATTATAGGAGCCTAAAGCATTACATACAGAAAGATTTTCAGATGCATGAAGTGCAATAAGAAACTTTTCTGAACATGTTTTTAACATGAGGGAACAGCATATTGATGTTACTTTTTCTTGTGGAAGTGCCTCAGCGGTCAAGGAGCAAAAATCTGCAAAGCTTTGGCTCTTATTTCTTTCTCCTAATGTGGATCACTGCATCCATCTAGAGTTTTACAGGAAGCTAGGCGTAGAGATCTAATGCAACAAACACAGCTAGACTTTCCCTTCTCTCTATTCCCTCCAATACCACAGAAAGGGTAAAGCCAAATACAGAGTATAGATAGTTACAGTGCCATGATTCTCCAGAACAAATCCCAATTATTATTAAGAGTAGTTAGTGCACACGAACAATCAGACCAACTGCAAAACTATGTTGTCTAATTCATTTGCTTTTAGTATTATGTTTCCTTTATAATAGATACGATTCTCTTCCACTGAAGTCAATGCAATGTGACACCTAAAAACAGAATTAAGCTCCAAATAGTACCAGCCAAATTTAATTTTTCATTTGTAACAAAGTGATTAAGTAAAAACACATATATTATGTAGCAGTGTGGGCCACACTATCTATTTAATAATTACTATTTAACAGTAAGCAAATAAATAATATTATTTAATAAATTATCTATAATGTATTAATTAATACTTGCATCAACTAACTATTTTTATCCTAAGGAAAGAAAACTAAATAAAAGTAAAAGCACAACATTTTGTAATGGTTAAAACTACATACAAATTTAAATTATGACTTACAGCAGGCATGATTTGATAATACATATGGAAATAGCAAAATTTATTTTTAAATTATTGTAGTATTTTACAGTTACCTGAAATAATTTTTCTGAAGTCTGTGGCGTGGCTGCAGGAGAATACGTGGGATCCATGTCTGTAAACTCTTCTGCAAAGTTACTAACATCCAATTCATCCCGAATTACTGGTTTAAATGGGGCTGGTACTCTTTTGGCAGCTAAATCAGACCAGTTTATGTTCTAAACCAGAAATAGAAAACTAAGTTTCAATCAAAATATAAATTAAAATAAACCTGCTAAACAGAGATACTTATTCTAGATTTTTTTAAAGTCTATTCAGTGCCTATGGCTGTGAAAAACAAATGTTTAAACTATATCCTTTTGTACATTTCTCACACAAGAGGCAAGAACTAAACAGCATTTGTGTGTGGCTGTATGACCAATACTATAAAAAAACCTACAAGTTTGTATGATGAGGATGAACATCTAATCTAGAATGGGGATTCATCTGAACCAGTGGGGGGCATACCACAAATTAAGCCCTCCCTGGGTGCTACTCCAGTCACCATCCCCTGCCCAATCTGCTGCCCTGCTCTCTGTTCCCTACCCTGAGCTCCCCACTGGGTCTGCTGCTCTGCTTTACTTCTTGAGATCCATGTGTTAGGAAGGGAAATGCAGAGGATTTCCATCAGAAAGTCAGCCATAAATGGAGCACTATCACCTCTGCAGCAATACTTACACAACTTATCCTAGAATAACAAATATGGATTGAGGGCCCTCCGAGATCAAAGATTAGATAGATTTGTTAGTGGAACGCAGTAAAGATTCTGGTTTCCTCTTATACGAAAGTTCAGGTCAAAATTAAGTATGGAGGTTGTAAACACTCCATAACAAAACAACTCTTGTGATTTCTTACACATTTAAAACTAATAAACTAGCATGGAAATGGATGGCAAGAGTCAACCCTCTCAACTAGCCTGAGTCACATAAACTGCACAGCCCTTTCTAAATCTTATCTTCTAGTCCACACCAAACCCAACCACAATGAGCTTCCTGTTTGTTGAGCAAAACCCTTTCAAGAAAAAAGCATGCTGATTATTTGTCTCTCTTCCTCTAATATAGACAAGAGATACCTAAGTAACGTGTAGAAAGATTTCTGCTGGCAGATTTCTTATACTTTTAGCACCCGCGTGACTTCTAAACACATTGCAGGGAGGAGTGAGCTGGGATGTAGGCTTGACCTCACACCGTGTCATTCAGAAAAACTTTTGAGAATTGACTGGATGGCTGCTAAGGGTTGGTTTTAATGGATTTCACTGTAGAGTAGACTATTGGTGGGCTTGAGAGACTATAATTTCCTAAATTCTTTAAGACTGGGACCTTTCTATTTTATTAGTGTGGGTGCATCTACATGTGCACTTTACTGCAGAGCTGACTAATTAGCTACACAGTAAGCATCACTGTCTACATGTGCGTCAGTATTACGACACAGTAAATTAACTAACTCCGCCAAAAGATAGTATCACTGGGGACAGTTCTGTTTGACAGCAGAGAGTTAAGTGTGACAAAATGCACATGTAGACGGTGACAGTGGCTGGCTGGGGCACAAGGGTGCTAAAGTACAGGGGGTTGTCTGCCACATGGCTCCTCACTTTAGCACTCTCGTGCCCCAGCCAGCCCCTCCATTGCCCAATGCTGCCACCTAGAGTCTGGGGCTGACCCCCCCAAGCCTGCTGCCAGGCAGGGCTGCTCTGCCCCAACTGCTGCTGTCCCAGGGGCACGTGTAGATGCTGTGCCTGAGAGCAGCCGACTCCAGCTTGAATTGCTCCGGAGTTTATTGTGTCACATTAATTTCATGTCTAGATGCACCCTGTATACCGGATCTTGATTAAAAAATGAAGTCCATGGGTCAGTGTCATCTAGCTTGCAGGGCTCCTGGAGGGGCTAGGAATTTGGAGGTAGGGTGACCAGGAGCAGACCCCACCACAGAATTCCAGGGTACTGAATTTTAAATATCTCCCCAAAACTAATGTATGTTATTAGTCCCTTATTTTATAAGCACTATAATTCACTGCAACTTAAGCACAATATTTCATTTTTAAAAGATTATTTGCCATCTCAGCTTTGGTTTAAAATTGACATTTTCAAAAATAAACTTCTTACCAGTAGCTAAAAATAAAAGGAATGTTTTGAAGGTTATGAATTTTTTTAATGCCAGTGGAAAAAACACTGCACAGCTGTTCTTAAACAAAAACATTCATTCCCCTTCAGCATCTAAAATCCAAATATTAATACATTAAAAAAATCTTAAATAAAACAAATAAATACATCTGAAATAAGTACATTAATTCAGTTTCAGTTTGATTATGCAAACTAAGGAAAATTGAAAAAGGAACTAAGACGGTTTATGGTAAAAAGCAAAATGTTTTTCTTAACAGTATCTAATTTAAGTAAGTTATTAGTAGCAAAGAGATCAGATTTTATCCATTATGTAGTTTAAGACAGGCTATCCAACTTCTGAATGGTGGTGAGGGCCACAGATCCTGTAGGCCACAGACTCCTAAGCCACATGCAGCAGGGGCCAGACACTGTAGGAACATGGACTCCTGGAGTTCCTGCTGCTGCACAGAAAGCCTGTTCCCCTTCTCCCCACACATGCAGCCCAGACAACCCAGCTCTTCTCCCAGATGCACAGGCAGCTGGGACAGCCATGTGTGCAGCCCAGACAGACTGGTTCTTCTAGCACCAGTGTGTGCAGTCCACACTGCCTGCCTCTTTTTCTAGCCACATGCACAGTTCAGTGCAGATAGTCTGACTCCTCTCCCAGCCACATACACATTCTGGCTTCCCCTGCCCCAGCTGCACATGAAGCACAGGTAGCACAGCCCCCTCCTAGTTCCCCTTGCTCCCTATATCCCCATACCCAACCCCAGGAGTTGGGGAAGGAAAAAGAAGCCAGAAGAGACGGGGGAGTCTGGGAACTTCAGCCGCCATAGCAGCAAGAGCAGCAGGAACAATGACAGGACTGGTGGCTGACCAGATCTAGGGACAGACACTACACATAAATCGGTTTAAGTGATCAGAAACTGGTTTGAACCTGGAACAGAAAAGATGTTCAGTGCATATAACCCCAGTCTGAAAATGGCTGAAACCAGTTTGATATAAACCTGCTTGAATGTAGTATCGGACTTAACTGATTTTGCCTCAAACCAGTTTATGTAATGTCTGTCCCAGACCACTTCCTGTTTTAAAATAAACCAGACTACCCCAGCATCCCAGTGTACTCTCTGGGCTGGGTGGGTCTCTCTGCTCCACAGCAGGGCTGGCCCCTCCCCTCTGCTCCCTGGCTGGAGCTCCAGCCAAGACTGCAGGTACAGCAGGGTCTGCCTGGTTTCCCCCTCCCCTAGCTACTTGCTGGACAAACAGGGCTTCCCCCCCTCCCTCCCATCTTCCACAGCATGGATGCCAACCCCACAGACCCTAGGCATGTGATATACTAGCTAATGCGGAGAGAGGTGTGTGTGTGTGTGTGTGTGTGTGTGTGTGTGTGT